TCGAAAAGTGGTCAAACACACTTTGCCCGGAGGGGGGACCGCCAGATTACGTAAGTTTAAGGCTAGTAGTCTGATCGAGTCCTGCGGATGCATGTGTGCGGCCGCGTTCTATAATTATTATAAGCAAAATCCGGGGGAGGGTATGTACTTAGTTTGTCTGTGCAGCAGACGAGCCGGTGAAAATGTCGTCGGAGATAGAGGGAGTAGTCACTAAATACCCTGATCTATTTGAAGAGCCGAAGGGGGTTGTTGAGAGGGAGGTCATCCACGCGATAGAGATTATCCCAGGGTCTAGTATTTCGAAGGGTAGGATCTATCGGATGTCTCCAGTAGAGCTCGATGAGCTTCGCCGATAGCTCAAGGAACTCATAGAGAAGGGTTGGATCGGGCCTAGTGCCTCCCCTTACGGATCTCCAGTCTTATTTGTACCGAAGAAGGGGGGGACCTTGAGGATGTGCATTGATTATAGGGGCCTCAATGCGATCACTGTCAAGAACGCAGAGCCCCTACCGCGCATCGATGACTTGTTGGAACGAGTGCAAGGGTGTTGGTACTTCAGTACGATAGATTTGAAGTCCGAGCACCATCAGATTGCAATACGGCCCGAGGATCAACACAAAACCGCCTTTCAGACCAGGTACAGTCTGTACGAGTTTGTGGTGATGCCTTTTGGCCTTTGCAATGCTCCTAGCACCTTCCAGCACGCGATGAAATGATTTTTCATGACTACTTGGATAAGTTTGTCATCGTGTACCTTGATGACATACTTATTTTCAGTAGGACTGTCGAGGAGCATGGAGCCCACTTAGATAAAGTCCTTAGCCTCCTTCGACAACACCAGCTCAAGATCAACGGGGAGGAATGCGAGTTTGGCCGCACCCGAATCTTGTATCTGGGTCATGAGATTTTCGCGGAGGGATTGAAGCCCGATGACGTGAAGGTGGCCAACATTTGTGACTGGTCGCATCCTCAGTCTGTGACTGAGATGAGGTCCTTCTTAGGGATGACCGACTACTACCGCAATTTTGTCAAGAACTATAACATGGTGGCCGCCCCTTTGACGGACCTGACTTGCCTTGACACCCCATCGGAGTGGACAGGCCGGTGTGAGGCTGCCTTCAAACATTTGAAACATTATCTGACACACCATGAGGTCTTGAAACTTCCTGATCCCGACAAGCCGTTTATAGTAACCACGAATGCCAGTCAATATGGCATAGGGGCCGTGCTCGCGCAGCAGGAGGGTTAAAAGTTGAGGCCTGTTGAGTACATGTCCAAAAAGTTGGCTAAGTCCACCTATGAGAAGGAGCTCTATGCAATCTACAAAGCGCTAACCCATTGGAGCCACTACCTCCGTGGGAGGTTCTACGTCAGGACTGACCATCAAACCCTGAAGTGGATGAGAACCCAGCCCGTGCCTCTAATGTGTTGAAAAGATGGATCGAAGTCATTGAGCAGTGTGACTTTGAACCTCAGTACATCAAAGGAGAGTACAATAGAGTCGCTGATGCGTTGTCGCGTAGGCCAGACTTCCTCATTGAGTTTGGGCTTGCGGACCATGTTACTCGTTCTTTGGTGGAAGCCTATCGCAAGGATCCGTTTATGGTTGAGATCATGAGCAGACTCGAGGCGAAGGACAAACTGAATTCTGTCGAGTTTGAGTTGGTCAACGGCCTGTTGTTCCTTGAGAAGGCCGGGAATAAACGTTTGTGTGTGCGAAATAGGGAGTCTTTGAGTAGTTTATTTTAGGTGAGTGTCATGATGCCACATGACATTTTGGCTACAAAAAGACTACAGCCAACTTGCTGCAGCAGTTCTGGTGGCCCACAATGATGAGAGATGCCAAGCTGTACATGGAGACTTGTCAGGTTTGAATGAGAATCAAGCCACGTACACAGGCCCCTCTTGGGCTTCCCAAGCCCCTTCTGATACCGGAAAGGCCCTGTGAGAGCCCGTCCATGGATTTCATGGACATGCTGGTCACCAGCAAGAGTGGAATGAGACATGTTTATGTCATTGTGGATAGGTTTAGCAAGTATGCTAGGTTAGTTGCAATGCCGACAACAGCCAAGACTAAGTACGTGATTGGGTCAGAGACTTCGGTTTGCCAAAGTCTATAATTATGACCGGATGTGCGATTTACCAGTGAATTGTGGAAGGCTGCAGCTGCCGAACAAGGGACACAGCTGAGGATGACCTCCGGCAACCACCCAAAGGCAAACGGGCAAGCAGAGTAGTTGAACCGCGTTGTTCAACACCTGCTGAGGCATTACATCAAGCCCAATCAGGTGGACTGGGATGCGAAACTTGCTCTCATCGCCAGTCTGTATAACAACGCCGTGCACAGTGCAACCGAGGTGAGCCCCAACAGTTTGCTACTGACTTTCAAACCTAGACTGCCCTTAGATTTTCTACTACCTGAGAATCAGCCTTCTGCTGGACCAGGCACCCTAGAGTTTGCATATCGATATGAGCGCCTGATGCAGCAAGCTGCAGAACAGATGCACAAGGCACAGGCGGCGATGATAGAGTCTGAGAACAAGCATCGCTGCCCGTCTACATTCCAGGTAGGGGATAGAGTCTGGGTAAAGTCCTCGGAACTGGGACAAGAGCACGGGATATCCCGTAAGCTAATACCACATTACTTTGGACCCTGGGAGGTTCTAGATATTGTCGGGAATGATCCGGATGGGGCGTCATATGTAGTTCAGATCCCTGGTCACCTTCACACTTACCTTGTCTTTCACGCCTCCAAGCTTGCACCTTTCGAGCAAACTGATCAGTTTCCCTCACGACGCTCAATGCTGCCCCCAACCATGGATGGAGAGGTCAACATCGACGACATCGTGGACCATAGGGAAATGCCAGTTCCAAGACCAACAGGCAGAGGACGTGCTTCTAAGCTGAAACTGCAATATCGCGTTCGGTTCAGACATCACATTGATCCTAAGGAGGACAGGTGGTTTACGCGGGAGGAACTGATGCAGACCGCTCCACAGGCTGTCGCTCACTACGAGAAGTTATTGCAGAAGGGAAAGCGCCAGATTGAGTAATGGAACTTCTCAGAGGACTGTCGAAGTATGGAGGAGGGAATGTGAGGCATAAGGCCCGATGAGGCCCCTTTTTCCCCTGTAAGCAGCACAGTCGGCTGCCCTAAGTGAAGGCAGGCCCGACCGAGGCCAAGAGGGCTATTTTTCGGCTACCACGCAACTGGGGAAATTCAGGCAGTTGTGCAGCGCCAGTTGGTTGAGAGCGCCCAGGCCCAGGCTGTCTTTTTTGTACGTAACTGATTCAGGCCCTGGGCCAGATACACAACAAGGGCCAAACACAGGCTGCAGGCAGTTGGGCACAGGCAACCGTCACAGGCCCTGGGCCTGATTCGTTTGGACCGGGGCTCAGCCTCTCGGGGCCTACCGGAAGCTTCTGGGCAGGGGCCCAGCGCAGGCAGGCTACACGCAGCAGGCAGGCCACTTCCATTTAGGAAAGGGCCTGCCCTCGCATTTGGCATTCGGGCACTAGCTGCATGCTGCGCAAGCGCTGCTGCGCTAAACGCTGGCCAGCGCTCACACGCTCACGGGCGAGCTGGATGAGCAGGCAGCCATAGCCAAGCTGCGCTGCACTATGCTGGATAGGGCGCATGGTGGTCCTTGGGTGCATGTGGCATCTGTGAGTGGGAAATCGAGGTTGTGAGTGATACAAGAGTAATACCTGGTGCTTGAGGCGAACGACATTGGCGGAGATCTGCTCGCACTTCGGGGAGCTGTTGGCGTCACCAACGGCATTGTAGATAGGCTAGATAGGATCTGTCATTTGTAGTATGGGCGCTGAGCGCCAAATAGGATGTCGACATTGGTTCATTGTTGATGATGATGAGACTATCCCAACAATGTCCCTTGTGAGCTTTTGTTGTGCTCTTATTTGGTGGACCTCGTGTTGCAATTCTGCTTTTGGTTCGAGGTCACGACTATTTGGTTACATGTGTATGCTGCTGCTTGGTTTATGGGATTCACTATCGCTCATTTCCTTGCACGTGATGCGTGAATCGAAAAGAAAATAAACAAAATGCTGGG